AAAATTGCAAAGGTAGAGAGTATACTCGAGACTAGAATTGAATTAATATACCATTGTATTCTACTATATTGCAATATACTCTACCATTATATGTAATTAATATAACAATTATGAGAGTACATATTACATTGTAACACAAAATATCATCATATGTAATTATATTATTAAATATAATACCCATAAATTGCATACGGTTATAATACATTATAATATATAATAGCATAATATCATTCATATAATATTATGAAACTTTATGCCATATTACATTGTAAATTATTCTTTAATTGCATTATATAATTATATTTATAGTAATCTATATCTATTCTATCATTCATAATTATCTCTTAATAACTAGATATAGTTATATACAATAGCAATATAGTGTGCTACATTAATAAATGGACTATTATATGAATAGAAAATATATTACATGTTTTTATAGCTCACATCATTTGTATCTCCATATAAACTTTTAAATAATTTTATACTGAATTTTCACAGAAATTTTTATTAAAAAATGCAAATCAAGAATAATGATAATAACAACATAATTACAGCAGAGTAGATCATATGTTGAGTTTTCTATATAATTACACTGGAGACTATATTACACACTCATATGGAACTATTGCAGTGGATGTATATTATTAATTTATGCACAACATATAAAAATATAAATAAGTATTAATAAGCAATTATTGTACTATTAATCAATATTATGCTGTTAAGTTACACTATTTAATATTATTACTAGTCAATTAAAATTGTACATATTTGGTATAAGATAAAATGTATTTAGAAAAAAATATATAAAATACCTAGAAATATCTAAAAGGAAAACAAAACAAAAATATTTTAAAAGGGTCAAAAATATTTTCAGAGTTTTTTACTGCTACAAAAAGCCAACATAGCAGTTTTTTGCCTCAAAACAGGTTGAAAACTTCTTTTAAAAAACCTAAAAATAAAAGAATTCTTGAGACTGTGTGGAGAAAAAAACAGGAAAATGAGACTAAAAGTTATTAAAACACAGTGTATATATACAAGCCCATCACAAGAGGTTTTTTAATTTAAAAAATAGGGAATTGGGGATAGTAGATTAAAAAACTTCTGGTGATTTTTTCTGAAAAAAATTGAATTTAAGTATTTTGGGGGAAAAATAGGGAATAATGAGGTTTGATTATTAATAAAAAATAGGATTAAGGGGCCTTTCTGAAATAATACATGAAAAAGAGTTGCTTTTTTAAAAAAGGGGATTTTGAAGAAAAATCAAGAAAGAAATGAGCAATTGGGATTTTAAGAATTAGAACAGAGTGAGGATTTTTCCTTAAAAATAGCTGAAACTTAAAACAGAATTCAAGAGGGCATTTTTCCTTAATTAATAATTTTTAAAATACAATTAATAAAATAAAAGAAGAAACAAGAAGATATTAAGCAAATAAAAAGGTTTTTTTTTTAATTTAAAACACTACCCAAAAAATGGGTTGATAAACGGTTTTAATGAAAATCAGAAAAAAAGCCAGGAAAATAAGGAATAAAAGGGTTTTCTTAGTTTTCCTTAAGAACCAAATGCTTTTATTAAAAGAGAGCAAATAAAAGGACTTTTCTTTTCATTTAAAAAAACCTTTTAAAAATAGATCTTTGTTCCCTGGGAAAAAAATACAATTCCAGCATATAGATCTTGTGGTTTTGTCCTGGTAAAACACTAAAACTGAACATTAAAATTTTAGCTAAAAACAAACAAACAAAAACACCAAAAAAAAAAACCCACCAAAAAAAAAAACAAAAAAACAAAAAAACCCAAAAAGTAAACTAAAATAACCAGGACAAAGTGCACTTTTTTTTGTTTTCTGTAGAAAGTGAGGGAAAAGGGAATTCTTTTTTCCAAGAAAATTAATCAGGCATTAATGAAAAAAGAAGAAGATTATAAAGGGGTTTGGATTAAAAAAATATTTCAAAATGGGATTTTTGGTTAAACATAATAAATCTGTTGATGAGAGGTTGTTGGAAAAATGCAAAATGAGGGAAGAAGGGAATTTTCAGGCAAAAACAAGCCCAGGGGTTCAGGATTTCATCTTCTGTGCTAAAAAGTCTGGAAATAAGTAAAAAAATCCAAGAAATTTGGGGATTTTGCATGGAAAACAGAGATTTTATTTACCACAGAAGGGAAGGAGAAGCCATCAGATGCCATCTTGTGCCACCCCTGTAAAAAAACACCAAAAAAGCACTAAAGCCTGTTATTTTGTGGGAAAAATGCATGTGAGCCCTGAGGCTCCAGAAGCCTCAAGTCACCCCCAAATCACCCCAAAATGTCTTTTAATACACTAAAATACCTTTTTTCACCACACAGAAACCTCCTGGGGCTTATTTTGTCTCCCACTACCCCCAAGTCTACACCAAACATGCCAAACTCTAAAAAGTTTGTCCAAAATTCCCCAAGTTTGGATCAAAATTGTTTTTCTTCCCAAATTCTCCCACTTTGGGTCAAAATATTTTTTCTCCCAATCCCCCACTTTTGGTCAAAATGGAATTAAACAGGGATTAAATATCCCTGCCCCCATTCTTCTCCCCACCTTGAGGCCACATCAGATTCTCCTTCTATATCAGATTCACTCCAAAATCAGATGAATTTTAAACAAAATCACCTGGATCCATGTCAAAATGGGGTCAAAATTCTGACTCAGCCCTCCCACCAACCCCTGATGCCCACTCCATACCAAATTTCTACCAAATCCACACTAAAACTTCATGGAAAGGATTAATTTTTCCTCAACTCCCCCCGCCCCCAGTTTCGGTATATGCGTATTTTTTTGCCCAACATCCGCCAAATTTGGATCAAAATGGGGCTCAACATGCAGGAAAACCCTTCACTCACCTTGTTCCACACAAACCCTCCCAAATGCTCAATGTGGCCTCAAAAAGGGAAAGAAAAATCCCACTGAATTTTCGGCATGATGAGGGGAAAAAAATCTGAAATTTGGAAGAAAAGTGCACAAAACGGGCAAACCCCTGAGATTTGGGGGAAAATGGGCAATTTTAAAATTTTTTTACTGTGGAAAAAAGTGTTTGAAACCCAACATTTTAGAAGAAAAATTATGGGACTTTTGGGGAAAAGAGGGAAAAAAGCCCTAAAATTGGGGAAGGGAAAGGGTAAAAAAATCTGAAATTTGGGCAGATAAAATCCTCCATTTCTGCCTGTCACTAAACAATAAGGAAAACCAGGAATAAACAGGGAATGAAGCCTCCCCACTCTTCCCCACTCACTGGCCCCTTGGCTCTTGAATTCCTGGGCTCCTGCGGACACACAGTGTTTGTTCCAAAGTCACTCCTTTTATACCCAAATAAAAAATACTCAAGCCACAGCCAAACCATGCAGATTTGGGCAGATTCAGCAGAATTTCAAGATGGGGATGGGGGGCATGGCCCACAGTTCCAGAGAATTTGGGAGCTGGCAGCTGGATCCTGTCACAGATGGGAAATGATGGGAGTGGAACCCACAGGACATTTGATAGATGTGAGTGACAGGGATGTCGTGACAGGTGTGGAACCCACAGCAATCATCCCAAATTCCCTGAACTCCCAGAATCGCCATCCCCATGGCAGTCTCTGCCCCATGACACCAGGGAAAGGACACCACCAAATCCAGACGTTTTTTACCCAAAATTAATGACCCAAGTCCCAGCAGAGAATCCAGGGTATGGGAAATTCTGGCCCAAATGACTGAAAAAGCTGAAGAAAACCACCTGGAGCCAGGAGAGACGATGGCAAACAGGCAATTAAAGGGCTTTTGCCTTAAAATAAAGACATAAAAATAGGGAAACTCTGAACTCCACAGAGATGCTCAAAACTGTCCAGAGACAGAGACCCCACCCCCAAAGCCATCCAGGGACCCCCAAAACTACCCAGGGATCCCCTCAGCCCTCTGAACCTCCCAAACCACAAAGTCCCTGGGGGGCCATGGGGGTCCCTGGAAGGGTATGGGGCTCCTGGTAAGTGACATGGCGAAGAGAAATTTTCAGTTGCCCTGAAGGTGATGGATGGAGCTTAAAGACTAACTGGCAAAAAAGCTGGAAGGATGTAAAGGTGTGCACACAGGATCACAAGCACAGCTGGGGCCAGTGGACAAATAGGTAATGAGGAATATAGCGGGGCTTTTGTCAAGTTACGTAACTGGACATGCCCAAGGAAAACGCTGAAGGAAAGGTCACGTGTAATATGGAAGCATTCCCTGAATATGACCACCAGAGACCTGTTCATGGTCCCTCCAGGACCATACCCTGTGGCAAAGTTTTATCGCACACATCAGACTAAAGGAGAAATCCTTCAGTGTGTTCTGTGCAGACAAAGAACGCTTGCTTCCTAATGCTTCAGATGGTGTTAGAAAGTTTATTTGCCAGCCACTTTTGGTATCATTCCCTTGCACGGGCTTACAGATGTAAGGTGAGCTGAGAGAGTCCTGCCGGGCTCTGGGAGGGTTTGGAGTTCCTAGGGGAGATTTGAGGGGGGTCCATGGGGGATATCGGGGGTCTCCGTCAGCGGGATCCCAGCTCTCTGCCACTTTAACCACCCCGAGAGCCTCCCAAACCACACTGGGACCCCCTCGACCCTCCTGCACCGCCAAGTCCTTTCTAGGATGTCCAGAACCACACCAGCCTCCTTCCACCCCAAACCTTTCCCTAGGAATCACAAACAACCTCTCTCAGACCCTCAAAACCACCCCACTGACCCCCAGAACTCCCTGCGCATCTCTCAGCGGCCCCACAGCCGCAAACCTCTCCCGGGACCCCCATTTATATTCCAGGGCCTCCCTCAGCGCCCCCACAGCCCCCAAGCCCCTCCGCGCATGCCCAAAGCCTCCCACGGACCCCTCCCCTGCCCCGCCGCTCTCAGCGCCGCCGCTTCCCGCCTTCCCCCTCCCCGGCCTCCCATTGGCGGCAGCGCCCGCCCGTCCCCGCCCTGAACCAATCAGCGCCCGAGCTCGGAGCGCCGGGGGAAACCAAACGAGAGCGCGGGCGATGGAGCGGGTGAGGCCTGAGGGCTCCGGAAGGGACCGAGGGGGGAATTTGCTGGGTCTCGGAGGGGAATTTGGGGGCCTGGGAGGGCCCCGCGTCACTTCCCGCATACCTCCCGCAGAAGCTCAGCCTGGAGCAGCGAACGGAGCGCCTGATGCAAAGGAGGTGGGAAAGCAGCCCGGCCTCAAGTGCCCCTCGGGATCCCCAAGCGCCCCTAGGAGGCCCCAGTCTGCTCCCCCGTTCCCTCAGTGTTGTCCTGGGCTCACAGTGCTCCCCAGACCCCCAAGACCGCCGCCCCAGACCTCTAAGCGCCGGCCAATTCCCTCCCTTGTCCCGGTGAGACCCAGGCACGCCTCGGGGACCCTCAGCTACCCCACCCGATCCCAGGTGATGCCCCAGACACCCCATTGTGCCCATAAGTGCGTCCCGCAGCCCCTCAAACTCCGCCCGAGACCACCAGTCCCACGGGGTCAGTGCAGGGTCAGCATTTCGGGGGTCCTCGCCCCTCCCCAACCTTCTCCTCCCCCCACCAGCCAGGCCCTGCTCAGGCCCGGCCCCCGCGGGCCGGAAGGGGCGAAGGCGCTGCTTGGCTCCGCCCCCTGCAGCTCCACCCTCGATGACCCCCTCGTCCAATGGCGCTTGGGGCGGTGGCGAGGGAAGGAGCCAGCGCTGGACACGCCCCTGGTGGACAGGGCCCTGCTGGACTCTGCTGCTCCCCGGGGTTCCCTGCAGGGAGTGCCGCCGGGGAGGTCACGTGACCCACCTGAGGCGCCGTGGCCAACCGGGAGACACTTCTGCAAGCACCGGGGGGCGTCTTCACCCCAGGCTGTCTCCCAAGAACCCCTGTGGCAGGATCCATGTTGGAGGCCGCCTGACTCCCGCAAGACCCTCTGGCCAATGAGGAGTAGCTCTCTGGATACCCTGCAGGGGGCACTATACTCACAGTCACGCGACTCCCACCATGCCCTGCGGCAAATCAGCAGCAGCTGCTGTGCGCCTCTGCACCAGGGGGTGCTGCCTGGGAAGCGAGACTCCCATGAGCCTTTGCTGCAGGAGCCATTATGGGGGTCACGTGACTGCCTCGGGGCTCTGTGGTGTGCCCCATATTGGAAGTCACGCGGCTCCCAGGATGCCCTGGGGCCTGCAAGGGAGGCGCTTCCTGAGCCCCTGCCCAAGGGAGGGCCCGGCTTCAGGTCACGTGACTCCCGTGAGGCCCCACAGCCAATCCGGAGTAGTGCACGTGATGCCCTACAGGAGGCGCCGTGGCAGCAGCCACTGGGTGAGGAACCAGAGAAGCCTTTGAGGGTCGCGGGGTCACTTGTGGGTCATGGGGGTCACTCAAAGGTTGGGAGCTATTGAGGGTCATGAGGCACCTTTGTGGGGCTGGGGGGCATTTGTGGGTCAGAAGGGTCACTGGTGGGCCTAGAGGTTCCCCTGTGGGCCAAGGCGGTCATTTGTGGGCCAGGGGCGGTCACTTGTCGGGCAAGGGGGGCAATTGTGGGTCAGGGGTCACTTGAGGGGCTGAGGGGGCACTTGTGGGTTGGGGAGACACTTCTGGCTCAGGAAGTCCCTTGTGGGGCTGGGGGAACACTTGTGGGACAGCCATCTCCTCTGACATGCAGCCCCGCCAGGCCCTCTTGGGGACCCCCTCCTCTGGATACTGCGATGCCACCGCCGGGCCGTAAGGGGACGCCTTCGGTAGGACATCCCCGCCCCCAAATTTCAGGGCTCTGCCCCTGTGCCTCCCTCAGGTCCTCCTAACTCCCCATTTGCTCTCCTTCTCCCCCCAGGGCCATTGAGACCCTCCTGGAATGCCCACCTGGGCACCCCCAACCCATGGTGGGGCCAATAAAGCAATGACACCCCAAAATTGCTCCAGGGAGGTGGGGAGACCCCCAAAACTCCCTCCCTTACCTGCCCCACCTTTGGGATTGCCCCAAATCCCTTCTCCCCCAAAGTGTCCCCAAGAGCATTTGGGGGGTTCTGGGGGCTCCAAAGCGGCTGTTGGTGAAGTGCTGGGTGTCTCTAGGGGGTCCCTGAGGGTCTGTGGGGTGTTTGGAGGGGCTCTGGGGCTGAGGAAGGGATTTGGGGGCTTTATGGGGAGCGCTGGGAATCGGGAGGGGTTGGGAGGGCACTGGGTGTCTTTAGGGCGTCAGGTCTATGGGATTTTTCGGGGAGACTCTAGCAGTGTTGGGGAAAATCTGTGAAAGGTATTGGGGGTCCAGGAAGGAGTTTGCGGGGATGCGTGGGCTTTGGAGGGTCTTTAGCGGTCCGGGGTCTGTGGGATGTTTTGGGGCTCCCAGGACAGCGTTGGGGGGTCTGTGGGGACTGGGAAGTATCTAGGGGCGCCTGGGAGCTTATTGAACGCATCGGGGCGGGGAACCCCCAAACCCGTGGGAGTGGGGCTCACCTGTCTTCACCTTCACACGGCTGACGTGGCGCCGGGGGGTTCTGGTGTCCCTCCGCTCCTGAGGGCGCTGTGGGGGTCACGGAGGCGTCACAAGCTCCCCCTGAGCCCCCAAAAATCCCCCGTGCCTCCCACTGGCCGCTGGTTCCGCGCCAGTTTACTCACTTCCTGGACTACAACTCCCGAAAGACCGCGGGGCCCCGCAGGACGCCGATAGAGCCGGGACTGCGGTTCCCGTCATGCCCCGCGGCTCGCGAGAGGCCCGTCAGGGCCGGGACTGTCCTCTAAGCACCGTCCCAGCTGCTCCCCGAGTGCTCCCCTGAACCGTGAGTGCGCCCCGGGGCCCCGTAAGTACCCCCACTTTCCCTCTCCTGACCCCCAAGTGCCCCTCCGGGTCCCGACGTCCGCCCGTCCCCTACTTGCCCCCAAAATGCCCCCCTGTGTGTCCCCTCGGACCCCCAAGTGCTCTCCAGCTGCCTCTCCGACCCCTAAGCGCCCCTCCAGACCCTTTAATGATGCCGCAAGCACCCCCAGCTGGCCTCCAAGCGCCCCTCGAGTGTCTCCTGGGAATTGGCGTGATGACGACAATGTAGAGAAAGACCCTGATCCTGTCGCAGTATCAGCACCAGTTCAGCTTTTAATTAAAATTTGAATCAAAACTGCAATTGCCGATGTGGGGGATGGGCAGCCGCCCTCCCCCCCCCTACTTTTTCCTGCCATTTCCCGGCTCCCTCTTGGAGCCAGGGAAATTGCAGGAAAAACATTCCTGCATATTGCGCACATCAAAATTTCATGGGAATCGGGAACAGGGTCTCTGTGGTGAGCTTCCCTGACAGGCGCAGATAAATCCTGTCATGAAGAACAGGTTGAGAGGACTTTGGGGACCTGGAGTATACATTCCTGTAGCCCCTCCCAAAACCCCAGAGAACCCCTCCATCCTCTGCAGACTCCCTGGTAGATCCCAAATACCCTCAGAATGCCCTCAAAATGCTCCATAGTTTTCCCTCCCCAAACACCCTATAAACCCTCAGGACCCTCCCAGACTTCCTGAGGCTCTCTAAAATAACCCATAGATCTGCTCACTCCCCCACACCCCTGAAAGGGGCTACCCTAGGTGGCCACAACTAGTCACGGACTGCCTGAGCCACTTTTTGGGCTGATATGTATGTAGGTATAAATCTAATAGAGATATAAAATATAATATAAAAAGGGGCCTTCAGGAGAGCTGGGGAGGGTCTTTGTCAGGGGACAGGATGGAGGGTGAGGGTTTTCACCTGCCAGAGGGCAGGGTTAGATGGGATATTGTGACGAAATTCCTCCCTGTGAGGGTGGTGAGACGCTGGCACAGATTGTCCAGAGAAGCTGCAGCTGCTCCATCCCTGGAAGTGTCAAAGGCCAGGTTGGACAGGGCTTGGAGCAATCTGGGATTGTGGAAGATGCCCCTGCCCATGGCAGGGGGTGGATCGAGATGACCTTTGAAGTCCCTTCCGACCCAAACCAGCCTGGGATTCTGAAAGTAGGGGAGGTTTGGGATGGGCGACCTTGGCTGACCCCAGGTGCTCCCCTGGGCTGCTCCATCACTCACGCTTCAGGGAGAGACAGCAAGAGAGAAAGCTCCTGGGGGAGATGGGCTGGGGGAGCGTGGGTCCCTCAGGTAGAGGCAGCTGGGGCATGATTCCTACCAACAGGCATCCCAATGGGGGACAAGACATGTTCAGCTTCTTGATCTAGCCTGTCCTGATCCCTCTGCAGAGCCTTTCTGCCCTCCAGCAGATCCACACTCCCACACAAGTTGGTGTCATTTGTGAACTTACTTACGCTTCCACTTGAACCCCTTGTCCAGGTCGCCAGTAAAGATGTTAAACAGGGCTCGACCTAGCATTGACTCCTGGAGTCACCGACAAGTAATTGGATGCAATGGACAGAGTGGGAGCTTCAGACAAGCCCTGTCTTAGGGTAAGATTTTTGGGTACAGCTTGAATTAGGTGACCTGCACCTAAAGCACTGTCGCTCGCAAGAGTGGCAAATCAGGTATATATGTAAAATGAGATATTTATTGAATAGGCAGGAGATAATAGAGAAAAGGTCTTGAACAGAGTTACTTACTACACAGTATAAAACAACAGTACTAGTTGATTACATAAAACGGTGCACAACATTAAGGTACCTATATCAAAGCTAGGAAAGAAATACTATAGATGAGGAGTCAATGTAGCTTACCACCAAACCGGCAAGAGTGTGCAAAGAGTCCTTTCACTCAACCCTCGAGAGAGTAACCACAAAACCAGCATCCCAACTTTGCCCCACTCATTTCCAGGGAATGTGCAGAAGACTTCTACTTTGTGAAAGTTTGGTGTAGCTTTAATAGATTGTAAAGTTTCTGTCAGAAATTCCAGCTTATCTTTGCACAATCTTGCTTTCACAGCCAGATATTTATATTCAGGTAGAAGTGCCACTTCCATGACACCCAAATAACCACGAGACAAGAGGTGCTTACAGATTTATTTCACCAGTTAGCAAGCTCTTGTGGCAGGGAACATGTACTGCTACACTGGCCCCAGCTGGATTTAGTTCCATTCCCCACCACTCTCTGGGCTTGGGCATCAGCCAGTTTCTCATGCAGCAAACAGTGCCCCTGTCCAATCCATGAGCAGCCAGCTCCTCCAGTGTCAAAGGCTTTACTGATGTCTATAATACACATCCACAGCCCTTCCCTCATTTACTGAGTGGGTCATTCTGTCACAGGACCTGCCTTTCCCAAACGTACGCTGTCTGGGCCTGATCCCCTGGTTGTCCTGCGCATGCTGTAGGATAGCACGCAGGATGATCTGCTCCATGGCCTTCCCCAGTACAGGGGTTTGGCTGTCATGATACATGGAAAGCCTCTAAAACTCTAAAAGACAAAGCGAGTTATAAAGTAGTTATGTATTTTTTTTTTTGGCTGGGCACATGTGGGATACTTCCGCAAAGACATGCGCATCTACTCACTCTCAGTGGTTTTTTTTGTCCTCTAAAATGTTACATATACATTAGGTTTTGCAAAAAATTTATGCATATTCATTTCCTGGCTCCACCTTGTCCTGCTTTGTTTACTAATTAACTTATCAGTCCCTTGCACCTGCGTACTTTTCTCTGGTGGTCATCTTGAGGGTCGCAGGGGGATGAAATAAGTGGTCTTCATCAGATTTGACCTTCTCACCCTGTCTTCTAGTGCATACTTACTGATTCTTTGGTTACATTCCAAGCCATAAGGTTGGTTTGATTTGGTCTGGGGGTCAGAGGAGCACTGTTGTCTTGATAGTCTTGTAACTTTGTCCTGTTTTGATGAACATCATCCTTCCCTTATCACACTTCCTTGCATTCTTTTGTGTTGCTCTCACACGTGCACCGTCTTCCCTTTACAGGCAGTTAGCACAGTAAAATGCAGCAAATATTAAGCAATATATATAATCTAAATATCTATTTCCAATCAATACTGCTCTGATTCCTAACCCTACGTCTCAGACAGACCTGGAGCTCCCTGAATCCTCCTTCCAATCCTTCTCATAGAAGGGCATCACATTTGCTAATTTTGAGTCAACAGGAACTCTTTCAGTTTACTAGAGCTGAGTGAAATAGGCTTGGCCAGCTCTTTCTCCAGCTCCTTCAGGTGCATCTCATTTATGCCCAGGTACTTATGTGTGTGTCTCATTGGCAGAGCAGGTCACTGACTGTTTCCTCCAGTCAGTGGATCTCAGGGGCTTCACTCAGCTCCCTGTCACCAACTTCCAGCCCTGGGAGCTGAGCATCCTAGGACAACTGGGTTTGGTATTAAAGACTGAGCCTTTTCCTCCTCCCTGACACAGCACTGCCCTCTGCACCCAACAAAGGATGGAGACTTTCCTGAGCCCGCCTTTTGCTGCCAAGGGATTTACAGAAACTTTTCTTGTTGACTTCAATCACACTGGCCAAATTAAGTTCCAGTTTGGCATTGGCCCTTCTAATTTTCTTGCTGTATCACCGCACAACATCCTTATAATCCCCTAGGGTTTCTGCCTCTCCTTCCAGAGGTGACACATGCTCTTTTTTGCCCTGAGTTTCTGCCTAAGTTCTCTCTTTAACGAGACCAGTCATTTTCCCACTCTGGCTTGTCTTATGGCGCATGGGCACAGCTCCTGGAGCTTTAAAATTTCCTTTTTAAAGAATCTCCACCTTTCTGGATTCCTTTTCCCTTCAGGACTGACTCCCAAGGGAATCTGTCAGTGGACCTCCTAAAAAGGACAAAATGTGCCCTCCAGCAGTCCAAGGAGGCAGTTCTGCTGCTCCCTCCTTTCTACCCCCACAGTGGAAAACTCGTTTTGTGGTTGCTCTGCCCAAGACACTCTTAATTACCACATCACACACCACTGATGGAATCACAGAATCAGAGAATGGTGTGGGTTGGAAGGAACCTTAAAGAGCCTCTACTTCCAACCCTCCTGCCATGGCCAGGGATACATTCCACTAGATGAAGTTGCTGCAAGCCCTGTCCAAACTGGCCTTGGACACTTCGAGTGATGGGGCAGCCACAGCTTCTCTGGGTAACCTGTGCCAGGACCTCACTACCTTCACAGGGAAGATTTTTTTCTGGAAGCTGATCTAAACCTGCTCTCTGTCGGGGGGAGCCATTCTATCCCATCCTGTCGCTCCAAGCCCATCACCAAGATCCATGGCTGACACCAGTCCTGGAGCAGCTCCATGGAGATCCATTACTATAAGTGGTTGCTGTGGGCATGAGCTGAAGCCTGTAGTAGAACCTTTTGCCATGGCAACCACTTGCTGTCTCATTCAGAGGGTCAGTTACCACAGCATTGGCGCAAGAAAAAATTTGGACCAAGTCTTGGCCCAGTTGTGATCCTGGAGTGCTGTGTGTTGGAGACCGAAATATTATAGTTTGTGGCTTAAACATCTTCATGAAGAACTTTTGCCTATTATGGTAAAACTGTTTTACAAAAACTGCAGAGAAGACCACCTCGCCCTGAATGGGGCCCTGACTGAGGGCCTACACTGCTTGCTGCTAAAGATAAGAGAAAGTAACAACTCAAGGCTGAGGACATTAACAGAGCACAAGCCTAATACCTTCTGAGTGGAGACTGCAGCCCCAGGGCTGTCAGCTGCCAGACTCCAGCAGACTCTCACATCAAAGGTCCGGCAGGGAGAGAGGTTTTGGGTGTGTCAGGAAAAAGCCTCTGGTGAGAGGCAGTTAACACCCATCCTCTGCTGTGCAGAGGAGCTAAGTTGTGCGGCCCCTTCACCCTGGGAGAAGCTGCATCTGCACGAAGAACAAAGGGGTGTCATGGCCCATCAAAGGCCCCCCCCCCGTTGGGCATCTGGTCAGGGGTCTGATGGCTTGATCCCTTCCCAGAGAGAGGTCCTGCAAGAGACAACTTTCTAGAGGTCTCGGGCAGTCCTTCAGCCACAAGGTAATCTCAGCAAGGGGCAGGCAGCTTAGCTCATAGCATTGATTTCAGCTCTGCCTTGGGAGCTGTACCGTGGCCAACACTGTCCATTCTAGATGTCTCTCGGGGCAGGAGGGCTGTGGTGCTGTTGGCTGGTTGCAGCATCAGGAGCTCATGACTGGTGTATCTGGAGCCATCCATCCTCATTGGCCATGGGACTTATGGCACACAGTGGCAGTGTCGTTCAGCATCCAATGTTATACAATTCAGCATCACAGACTATTCTCACCCAAAGTCAAATCCTCCTGCATTACCCACAAAATGCCCCAAGGTCCTTGAGCAAAGACAATGCCATGGATAGGTTTGCCTCTGCTTAAGGCACGACTGATCCCAACAGTTTTCCCTAACCCACTTCTCATATGCGCCATAGGTATTTTATCCCCTTCTCCAGTACGTGGATGTTTTGTTTGGGCAGGGCCAGCTCAACTGGGTAGAGCCTGGTAGGCGTTCACTGATCAGGTGGCCTTTGCTAATGTTTAAAGGTCCCACCACCCATTGCTTTCAAGGTGGTTTTTAACAGTTCATTGTACCATTTGGCTTTCCCAGGGCCCAGGTGTTCATGAGGCTGTTTTTGAAATAAGTCCCATTGTTTGAGTCAATACTTTCGGTGCTGCTACTTTGCCACAGGACTTGTTTTTCAAGGGTTTTTCAAGGGTCAGCATGATGCTCCAGGAAGTGGTCCAGCATGAGGATGGATCTCCAGCCATCCAGTCAGACCTTCTACCACTGTCAGCGTGCAGCTCTTGCCTTGGAGAGGTTGCAGCAGTGTGATGCAATTGATCTGCCAGGCTTCCCCAGATTTATGTTTTGACCATCATCCCCCACACCACAGGGGCTTTACTTGCCTGGCCCTGCTTGATGGCAGCACACATTTCACGGTCATGGATTACCCAGGATATAGTGTCCATTATTAAGTCCACCCCTCAGTCATGATGCATCTGTGTGATACATCTCTTCCCTGATGACCTTAGATGCCTAAGGGGCCCACTGAACCAGAAATAACTCACCCTTGTGTGGCCAGTCCAGACCCACCTGAGACACTTTAATCCTGGCAGCCCAATCCGCTGCCCATTGTTGTGATGCTCTTCGCTGGCTGGCTCTTGGATACGTGAGCATCCACAGGATGGACTTTCCCAGCCAACTTCTCTACCCAGGCATCAATGTGGCGCAGCAGTGGGCTCTCGCCAGGTAATAATTAGCATTGACTCCATCATTCACAGAAGGCTGATCAATCTCTTTATTCCATTATTATTACAAAGAAACCCATTCCTTTTATAGACAGTTATGATACACCTGGACTTAATTGGTCCTCCAATCCAAACTCCATCGCCATTGGCTAATTAAAAAACCACCCTTTGGTAAATCTCCATAACACATTCCACATGTTCACAACAACGGGTGCAGCAAGTTAAGATAAGAGTTGTTTCTCATTCTTTTCTCTAATCTTCTCACAGACTTTTCCCAGAAAGGCCTGGAAAAGTTGTCTGTTGCTCTCTGTGACCAGAGAGCTACTGCCACAGCAATGTCTTGCCACAATTCAATAACCCAGATGGATTTCCCTGTGCGCTGCCAATTGGTCTTTTTCCATTGTCCAGCTACCTCTGCAGAGCATTTGCTGTTATGCATGAGTCAGTGGCCATTTCTCTCATTCAGCGATATTCAGCAATAGCCAAAGTCAGCTGGACAGCTTTCAGCTCTGCAACCTGACTTGATTCACCTTGTCCCTCAGTAACTTCTGCAACTCGTCACATAGGACTTCACAGGGCTGCCTTGTCTTTCCCGATGTATCCCTACAATATCCTCTCCTGAGGTAAGGTCTGCAAAGGATTCATGGGGCCACTGGGCCAGTGACAATGTGGTTTTGCCCCTCATTTCCAGTCAGGATCACTTCAGTTTCCAATACAGTCAGCTGTTAGGATTCCTCTGTCATCCCAGAAACACAGATGGATTCTACCCCTACAGATATTGATGGCATCTGGGTACATCAGGTGCTGATGTCAGATAAAGCCTTGTACTCTTGTGGTCCTGCTGTATAGATCCAATGGTCCCTTTCCTCCACCTGGATGGAGCCAGGGCCCCTCTAGCTCTGATCATGGTACTTATTGCTCACTTCTTGTAAATACGACCTGGAGGTCCTTTCAAGAGGATCAGAAGTAACATCAGCCCTTCTATTCTGTCTGAGGACTTGTCCAGTGGAAACTGGAGAAGATTTATCCTTGATGAGTTTTCTGTGGTGGTGTTTTCTTCCTCTCAACTCACCTGTGAGAAACAACTGCTCACTTTGAAAATTCAAAAAGGTTTATTAAACCTTAACAAAAATACAACAAAGGACTACATAAGGAAAAATTTGCAGCACTGGGAACTGCCCCCGTGCATACCATGTGGCTGGTTCCTCTTCAAGATGGATGCTCAGTCTTTTATACCCCTGGAGGTCGCATCAGTCAGCCCTGGCCCCTCCCAAATTCTGTCAGTCAGCTCTTCTTTGCCATTTATTGGTGGAGACTGCTTTCTTGTAACTTGATTGGAGATCAGGTGTTGCCATGTTGCACCCCCTAAGCACCAAGCTCTTCCATTCCCAACTGCCCCAGGTAGGGGAGACATGTTCACACCTTCTTTTTACCTGGCCTAGACAACCCAGGCTGTCTGATGGTCACAACACAGGGTGGGGGGGAGGGAACTATGGGGAGAATAGAGGACATCTAAACTACAATAACATAACTATACATCACTAAAGCTTTTCTTAATTTTCGCATGATAGTTATCTTTTAATTGCAAGAGCCAATCATCTCATTATCCATCTATAACATCATCACCCATGCTGCTGGGGCAGAGATGGATTTTCAATCCCACTTTCTCATGTCCTCTCCATGGTCACACAGTTGAAACCACAGGTTACTGCATAGTGTGTCTCCCCTCTTCTGAGCAGGATTTTGCCTGCTCCCAATAGCAGAGACTCTGGTCCATACCGGCAGGGCATGGAACATTGCCTCTCTAGTTTGCTCAAGTCTTTCAAATGTGTCTTCAGTGTTGGACATTCTTTCCACAGACAATGCACAGGTCAGTAGGGAGAAGAAAAGATGATCTTCATGTTGCCAAAGCTGGGTGGAAGCTGTTGTCTCATGAGTCAAAGGGACAGTACCACGATGAGACTGAGAATGATTTATTGCTTAGATAACATCAGTCTCAAAGGCTATGAGATTTCTAAGACAGCAAGCAGTCGGCCAAAGTCTAAGATGGTCACAAGTTCTTTGTTGCAAGACAGTATATAACTTTCTAATCCAATGGACAGTCGCCACAGAGTATGTTTTGTTTTTCTAACCTATCCCCTTTACTTCTTTCTCCTGCAACGTGGATACTTTTGTCCAATAAGGTCTTATTACATATACACACATATGTCTCTATTAGAATATCTAAACTTTTAGCTTATTCTATACAATCACATTACTACATTATTGCACTATCAAACCCTTCATCATCTTATCTAATACAGTTTCTGACTTAAAGCATATTCTTGCTTATAACTGTAGAAGCATAAGTTTATGATTTTTCTATTCAATGTCTGTGTACCTTGCTTTCACATCAATCTAGACTTCTTCTTAGGCTGTAAATCAAACCCTCTTGAGCCTGTGAAGATTTCTATCTTTCCAATTCCCACATTGGGTAGTCACCTGAAGCACTGTTTGCTTTCCTTCTTTCATCAACATCACTGCCAGTGATGGTATACAACAATGATAGGCTTCACACAAACTTCTGCCACATCGATTGTGTACCCTGGACCTCATCTGGATCTTCCTCCTGTTGTGAGGACCCTGCTTTGTCTTCATCCCTCACTGAGCAAACTGATTTGGTCTTGGATGTCTTGTGTATAGGGACAACTGCTCCCAGCATATGTTGTGCCTGTGGTTCAGCTGCAACTGGAGTGCCCACAGTGCCCGTTGCTCTGCCTTCCTCCTCCTCCCCCTGAGGGTACTGTCTAGTGATGAACAGTAAATGGTAGCCAGGGCCCAGCACACTGCATAACTTTGTGCCTCTCTGGAGTCACTACAGCATTTGTCTTTCATAAATTTTATCACTTTACCATGGTCCTGTAGTTACCAGGGGTGAACTTCCAAACCACTAGAGCAGAGGAATCCTCCAAACACTGGCCCTTGTCCTCCCATATTTCATACCACTCCTGACTATTGTCCCTCAGGGAAGATCTCTGAATCGTCTTTATGAAAATGTCTTTTGTAATTTTAAACATGGTATAGACCACACTGAGGAGGCCTGGCAGACACAGCAACAAGAACAGGCTGGGAACTATTATTAATGGACTCCACTCTAGGCAAGGGCAGGAGAGAAGCACTGAATACATATCCCAAATGACCCTCACTGCCCTTGATGTTACCATGTCATAAACTGATATCCCAGAGTACAGCAACAAAGCAATCCTGATCCCTCTCCCTGCTCTGAAAAAAAACATAGTGCAATACATACAGGGCATACAGGGTTAGGTACCACACCCACATGAACAGACCAAGCAACATTGTGACCCCTGGCTCTGCACATAATACAACAAAGGCTTAGATCACATTTGTTTTCAAACAGCTCTAGACAGATCTGTTGTTATCTCGACCCTTTGTGCCTCACATTGGGCAGCAATTAAGGCTGTCGGCTGTCATGTTTTAAGAACAGTATTCCATACTTTAATGCTTATACTGAAACCACACTGGCTCTTGCTTCCCTGACTCCTCCAGCTGGAAGCGCAAAAGGCAAAGGTCACAGTTTAACACAAAAACAATTTACTGGAAACAGCAATGAAATAAGAAAACAGTGACAGAAACAATATTAATGACAACAGCTCATTAATAGACCATAATAAGACAAAGAATTTACACAGAGAGTCTGTAACAATGCCGACTGTTTCTCCTCAAAGAAGGAACCCCTTCCTCTCAGATGCGAGGGAAAGAGTCCTTTTCCCTTACCCCTGGCAAATAAGATGGTATTGAAAAACCTCCTAGAAATGCCCACAGCAACACCCCTTAGCTACTGCAAAAAAAAAAAAAAAAAAAACAAAACCAACTCTATTTTAGCAACTCTGTCCTGGCTGAAACTAGAATGGCCATGCCGGTGGGGAGATTTCAAAGGGGTGTGGGAAGATGGATGCAAACAAGAGGAATGAGAAGCTCTGAAAGCAGAAATACCTCATGGGGAGTGACATGAGAATGGGGCTATAAGCTTGTTCGGGGAAGGTTCAAGGGTAAACTCCACATCATAGCAGTGCTGGTTTGGCAACTCCTTTGTCTCTGCTGCATTGAAGAGGCTGAAACAGGGAGAAAAACTGCCCTAAAGGGGAGCAGGGAGGGTGATAAGCTTTGCCTCATCCCAGCCCAGCCTGGGAGTGACTCCTGGCACAGGGGCTGCTGCAAGAAGCTCCCCTTCCCTCCTCTTCCCCTCCCCTCCTCTCTCTCCTGTCCTGAGGACACAGGGGGTGTGAAGATCCCAGGGTGCCACCTGCACAACTCCTGGCTGGCAGCAGATGTTACCCCAAGTTGTTACAGAGCCTGCAGAGCTGCAGGATGCCTCAGCCCGAGTGCCTGGGGCTGCTGATACTGGGGTGTCTAGGTGCCGCATCGGGGGTGCTGATCTCTGTGTCCGTTCTGTCCCAGCCCACGTCGCCAGAGCAGATCCTAGAGATATTGGCCAAGGGCAATAGAAACCAGCGCAGCATCACACCAAGACCAACGCCGCCTCCTCCCACTCCCATGCCATCCTCCAGGTGAGTGCTGCTGGCTGTGGTATTGCTCCAATCAGTGCTGGAAATGAAGCTAGGAAGCTGCTGAGATAACATCCCAGGGCTGTCCCACTCAGCACCGAGTTGGGAATTACATGCCCCAGGACTCTGACTGTCAAAGTGCTCCCCAGTTTCTTGATGCAGACTTGCCAAGTACATTTAAATTCCAGCCATGTACTTTCCTGAATTTGCAGGGCTGTTACATTTGCTGGGGTAGATGGAGGCTCTGGCTATCACTTCAGCCTGTTTCTAGTGCCTCATCCATAGATAGCTACTTGTAGGGGAGCAAATCAGGTGTCTTTTCCAGAGCCTTGGAAACCCAACCAGCTGTACCATCCTCCACCACTAAACATGGGAATTGCTGATTCTTTTCCATGACTCTGTCCCTTCCTTCCAGATCTTTTCCCTGACTTTGCTCCTTGTGTCATGTCCAGCTGTTTGACTCATCCTCACAGCATGCCAGGTTCCTCTCCTACTCCTGCCCCATCTTCCAGTGTGATCCATTGACCCATTCCATGGGAAACACAGAGCCCTGGTCCCGCTGGTGCTAGTTGCTCCAACCAGCCTCCCCAGGGGTGTGTGTAGCCATGGCTTCAGCCATCTTTGTCCTCACAGATCCTGGTGAAGCAGTGGGACGACCCCACTCTTGGCTTTGCTGGGAATCTGTGTGTGGCCAAGGTGAGCCTGACTGACACGGCGGACTTGGGGTGAGCCTAGGTCACCAAGGACTGCAGAGAGGGGCTGTGGGAGGGACCAGCATCAATTGCTCACTGCTGGCCCTTGACAGCATCATGTGCCCACTGGCCAGAGGTAAGGGAATGCTGTTCCCGGCCTGGCACTGCTGAGCTCTGGCTGTCTGGGGTCGGGCCTGGGAGGCACCTCCCCGAGCATCCCAGGGCTGATAAGCTGAGCAGAGCTTCGGTCTCTCGGGACAGAGCAGGCAGAGCCACATCCAGCTCTTGAAGAGCAGCTGATGCTCTTGCAAAAGGGCTTCCCTGGGCAGCACAACCCAATGATCGCAGCCCAAACACCTGTAGCATGCTCTGGTTTGCCAGCCAAGCCAGGTACATCCTGCTGCTGGTGAGGATCAGGTGGGAGCGATGCAGGGACCTGCCTGGGGCTTGGGAGCTGATGAGTTGGGGGTCAGGACAGTGTGTGGTGGGATGGATTGGTGGGTGCCTCCTGTAGGCCGCTAGAATTTCCCAGCCATGGGGGTGTCACTGGGGGCAGAAGCAGCTGCAGCAGTGTGTGCCCAGGATGACCCAGCAGCAGATTGAGCTGCAGCAGCCTGTGCCCAGGATGACCCAGATGTGCAAGAGCTGCAGCTCCCATGTGCTGGGAAAAGGAACTGAATGATGAAGCATTTGCTGCATCTGAACATTGAGGTCCATCTTGCTTCCCTCTTTTCCTCCTCCACCTTCTCCTTTTCCTCATTACTGTCATCCCAACTGCACATTTCTCAGAGGATAACTGTCGGAACTCAGTACGTCCCTCCGGGTGTCCCGAGTTGCTGAGGACCCCACCGGGGGGCTCGGAGACCCTGGCACGCAGCCCAGAACACCTGGGGATTTGATTATGACCCCTGGAGCAAGTTACCAGCTTTGTATGAAAACCTGAAAGTCACAGAGGTTTGAATAGTATAATAATAATAGTATCACAGGGTGAAAATGTAGATTTTAGGATTTTTGGTATGGGGGTTATGGGGACAAGATGGACGAACTTGGGCGTGTCTAGCCTTTCTTCTTGTTCTCCATTTTCTGCTGTGATGCTGGCACTTTGGGATTGGTTTAGAGTGCACTGTCTAACATAGGTGATAGGTATTGGGAATTAAGTGTAAATATCTTATACGTAGTTCGTAGTATAGAAAGACAACACCGCCTCAGGGGCAGTCAGAGTGCCTTTGGCTGCCTTGCTGAGCAGACCTTGGCTGGGCAGAAAGAAAATTTTATAGATAAGAATTAATAAACAACTTGAAGACCAAAAACTGAAGAGTTCAGACTTGTTCTTCAGCCGTGCGGGCCGAAACAGAGACATCCTGTATATCTTGGGGCAGCAATTAACAACCATCTGTCCGAGAGATAACCAGGGATTTTGAGACAAAAGCACATGTTTTTGATTGGGAATGTCCCTGGGGATCCCCATTACACCAGGGTAAGTTGCTCTAGAGTAGCTTCTCTCTCTCCCAGCAACCTTTCTCCTCCTCCCCTGCCTCCTCCTCCTCCTCCTCCTCTTCCTCTTCCTCCTTCTTGTTACCTTCATCCCCACTGTGCAGAACATATTCCCAAGAGAAAAGCTGGTGATTCTGGGGCAGAAAACTGCTTTTCTGAGGGGAAACCTCCACAGCGGTCCCAGTTCTGTCAGGGCAGCCTCCCTCCCTGTCCTCCATCTTCCTCTCCTCATTCTCCTCTTCCTCCTTGCTGCCATCAGCCCCACTCCACAGGACACCTTCCCCAGATAAAAAGCAGTGATTCTGGGGCAGAAGGTTTCTTTCCTGAGGGAGAACTTCCCCGGGGGTCCCAGATGTGCCAGGGCCTTCCTCCCTGCCCCCCCTCTCCTCCTCCTCTTCCCCCCCAGTCAGGGCACACCTGAGCTTTGCCCAGAAGAGGGGCTGTGCAGGGGGCTCAGAGGGCCAGCGCAGGTGTGTGCGCCGCAGCAGCACACGTCGCATGCGATGGAAGGCCGAGAGCTCGGCCTCGGGGATGTCCTCAAGGAAGATGAGGACAAGGACATCGCGCAGCTCATCGAAGAGGCGATAGCTGGCCATCTGGATCTCCAGCGAGCACCACTCGCTGCGCAGGTACCCACGGCTCACCACACACACCGTGTGCCGGCTGTTGTACACAGCGTCCACGATGTTGTCCACTATGGCGCGGCCGGGGCGAAAGTCACGGTGGTGCAGGCAGAGCCGCAGGGCTCCACGCTCCAGCTCAGGCACCAACTCCTCCAGCACCCACCGCTCATCCCCAGAGTTGTAGGACACGAAGGTGTCATAGGTGTAGCGCCGCTGCTCCCGCCGCCAGTGCCCACGTGCCCAGGCACGCAGCAGGAACAGCTGGTAGCGCAACCGCCAGTACCCACGGTGGTGCAGCAGCGGCAGCACCAGCAGCAGCAGCACAGCCGGTGCTGTCCCTGCAAACAGGTACCGCCCCATGTCCAGGTAGCACACACACGTGTCAAAGCAGTGCAGGTACGCGGAGGCCCCACCCATCTCACCACACGTGTAGTTATACAGATAGACTACCTGCACAGGCCCACGTGCCAGCCAGGCAGGCAGCCAGGCATTGGCACAGCTGCAACTTAGTGGGCACTTGCGCAGGTCCAGATAGCGCAGGGCGGGGAGGCGGGTGGCCAGAGTCACATCCAATGTACGCAGCCCATTCTTGGCCAGGCGCAGCTCCTTCAGTCGTGTCAGATTTCCGAAGACCTCAGGGCCAAGGCTGCGCAGTCCTGCGCTCTCCAGGTTCAGGCTGCGCAGTTGGCTCAGGTTCTTGAAGATGCCGGCAGGCAGGTGGCCCATCCCGCCACTGCTGTCAGCCAGTGTCAGGTACTGCAGCTGTGCCAGGTCATCGAAGGCATCAGCAGGGATGGCCGAGAGCGAGTTCTGTGACAGGTAGAGTGAGCGCAAGGCACTGAGGCCCTGGAAGAAGCGTTGTGGGACCACACGCATCCCATATGGCTGCTGCGCCTGCAGCTTCAGGTCATAGAGGTTATGTAGGTAGCGGAAAGGTGGCAGCTGCCGCAGGTGTCGGCTCAGGTAGCGCAGCGCATTGGCACGCAAGTCCAGCACGCCCAGCGTCACCTGCACCGGCTGGAATGCGGCCACCCTCACCTCCAGCAGCCGGTTGCGGTCCAGGTAAAGCCGGCAAAGCCGCGGGAGGCCCTGAAATGCCTTGGCTGCCAAGTGCCGCAAGTTGTTCCCGCCCAGGTCAAGGGTCTGCAGGCGGTCAAGCCCCTTGAAGGCGCCAGGGAAGAGCACGGCCACACGGTTGTTGCGCAGGTTGAGGTCTTCCAACTGGTGCAGGTCAGCAAAGGAGCCGGGCAGGAGGTCAGTGAGCAGGTTGTTGTCAAGGCGCAGGTGCCTCAGGTTGCGGAGTCCACGCAGCGCTGCGCGGTGCAGCCGTGCCAGCCCGTTCACATCCAGCCGCAGCTGCCGCAGTGCGGGTGCATTGTCAAAAGCACCCGCACCGGCCACTAAGATGCGGTTGAAGCGCAGGGACACATTGTGCAGCTGCTTCAGAACCGGGGTCCCTTTGCACGATGGCAGTCGCTGCAGCAAGTTGTGCTCAGCCACCAGCTCACGCAGTGCTGCATGCTGCTTCGGGTTCAGCAGCTGCCCTATGCAGCCCAAATGCCGCAGCCGGTTGCCAGACACATCCAGGGCACCCAGCAGCGGACACTCGGCCAGAGCCCTTCTGGGCATTGATGTAAGGTTCATGTGCTGCAGCTGCAGCCTATGCAGCCTCTGTCCTCTCAGCTGCTTGCACAGGTATTCCAGGCCGCTTGTGTTCACCTGTAGCCCTGACACGTCCACCTGACGCGGGGAGATTCCAGCCACGCGCAGCAGCTGTACTACGTCCAGCGGGTTCCCAGCCAGATACAGGTGTGTCAGGTTGTTCAGGCACAGGTGAGAGAGCAGTGCAGGGTCTGAGATGTTGTTGTAGGACAGGTCGAGCACACGCAGCCCTGGAGGTATCACCGCAGAGGTGGCCCCTGAAAGAGCTCCCAGGGAGTTGTTGCAGAGGTACAGGACCCTCAGTGTGGGCGGCAGCCCCGGGCCCAGTGTTGACAGCATGTTGCCACACAGGTCGAGCAGGTCTAGGTGTGTCAGATTCCCCACAGCCATGGCCACAGTCTCCAGTGCACTGAGCCGGCCACCCCGCAGCCAGAGTGTGCTGAGTGCAGCCAGAGCCTGGAAAGCCCTGGGGGCCACCTTCTGTAGCGGATTGTGGTCCAGCCGCAGTGTGCTCAGGTTGCCCAGCCCGGTGAACACACCTGTGGCCAGCACTGAGATGTTGTTGTGGGCCAGGTTTAGGTGAGCCAGTGCTGACAGCCCCGAGAAAGCCCCTGGGGCCAGGAGTTCCAGCTGGTTGTGGGTCAGATCAAGGATGTAGAGCCGCGGCAGGTGGGCAAAGGCACTGGGGGGCACCTGGCGCAAGATGTTGACAGAGAGGTTGAGGGATGTGGCAGTGGAGGGGAGGTCGTCCACTGCAGCCCCCACAGTGCTCAGGAAGCGCTGGATGCAGCGGAACAGCCCAGGGTCCCATGGTGCCTGGATGCAGTTGTGGAAGCCATAGGGAAAGACCCTTGCAGGCACCATCACCAGTGTCACCAGTGTCACCAGCAGTGGAGTGCACATCCTGACTCACCCTGGGGAGATCCTGGATGCAGTAGGAGAGAGAGAGAGTAGGATGAGGCTTGGTACCATAGAGACCCCCTTCGAGGCCCAGGGACTACACCTTGGGCTCAGGGATCCCCACCACCCTAGGGATCCCCCTTGCAACCCAGGGACCTCACCACCATCCCAAAGACCCTACTCAGGGCCCAGAGAACCCTCATCCACACCTCACCAGAATACCAGGATCCCCACTCTGCGTGCAAGGACTCCTTGTCCACACCCCAGGGCCTCACACACACACTCCAGGGATTCCTTTCAGGGCCCAGAGACCCCTTCCATCCACAGCCCAGGCAGACCCCCCCCCAGGGACCCCCATCACGGCCCAGGGGCCTCCCCCAGGACCAAAGAACCTCCGCACAACCCAAGGACCCCTTGCCCCCCAGTCCCGAGGGATTTTGGGGACCCCCTGCTCCCCATCAAGTTCCCACCGTGCCACTGCCTCTGCTTTGGGTGATTTTGGGGTTAGAAACAGGAAGTTTGGGGTATCACTTTTTGTCACCACTGCCCCACCCACCTCCCTGTGACGCGGGTGGGGGAGGCCCCTGCCTGGACGGGTTTAAGGGTCCCCGGGGGGCTGGCAGGGGTACCAGGCCACACAGCTGGGTCGCCCCCCTGGTGCAGACTCCCAGAGTCTGGGGGGAATCCCTGGGACACCCAAGCCTCTTCCCCTCCCTCTCCCCCACCCCCACCCCGTGCCGTCCCCCTGCTGCCACATGCTGCTCTTTGTTCCTCTTCCCCTTCCTCAGACTGAACCACCTGGTTTTGGTTCCTTCGGGGGAAATACTGGGCTGTACTGGGTTATGCTCTCTTATACTGGGCTGTACTGGACTATATTGGTCTATACTGAGCTGTGATGGGTTGTGCTGAGTTACACTGGAGTGTATGGGGTGCTGCTGGGCCGTACGGCGCCGTACTGGCTTGTACTGCCCAGTACCACCGGGCACAGACGCGCTGTCCAGGTGCTGCGTAGGGGGCGTGGCCCGACTTGGGGGCGTGGCCTGACTTGGGGGCGCGGTCCGTGCAGCATCGGGGCGGGCCCTGTCGGGAGTGTGGGGGGCCTGGAGAGTGGGGGTCCATCAGGATGAGGGGGCATATTTGGGTCTGGGGGATCATAAGCCGGCTCGGGGGATTTGGGGGCTGCAGGGACTGGGGTGCACGGGGGAATTATGGGGGTGTGCGGGGGGGCTGCAGGGACTGTGCTGTGCAGCGGCCGCAGCTGGTGATGCGTAGCCGTCAGCAAATGGGGGGCGAGTACCCCCCATCTTCCCCCCAGGGCGATGGGCTGGAGCTGGAGTACGAGATGGTGCCGACCAAAGGGGATTCCTTCCGGACGCGGCACCTCTCGGCCGATGAGTTCCGGGCTGCCGCGGCCGGGGGAAAGACATTGCGAGGAGGACTGGCGTGCATCGAGATCGGGGGGTATATTGGGGGTTACGGGGGTTCGAGGAGGCTTATTGGGGTCTAGGGGGTCTGGAGGGGCTGAAGGGATTGGTGTATATCAGGGTCTGCGGCTGTATAGGGAGTTATGGTGGTCTGAGGGGCTGCAGGGATTGGGGATGGGGAAGTATATGAGGATCTGGAGGATTGTTTAGGGGTTTGAGGGGTTGGAAGGATTGGAGTGCATCAGTATGGGGAATATATTGGAGGTTATTGAGATCTGAGGAAGCTGAAGGGGTTGGGGTACAAAGGGGAATGATGCTGGGGCTGCAATGCAGGGGGCGCTGTGGATAGTCTGGTGGGTTTTGGGGGGCTTCATGGGGTGAACCCCTTCTCACCCCTCCCCCCACCTTCCCCAGGCGTCCTGGAAACAGACATCACCTTCCTCCTCGTCTTCATCGTCACCCTCATGTTATTCATCAGTGAGCAGCTGGGGGGAAATCTGAGCTTCAAGGGGGCCTGGGGGAGGCAGTGTTTTGACAGATCTGGTGCTCACCCCCCATAGTCCCCCCAGACCTGGTCTAGGGATGGCAGCTGCTCCACACCACCTGCAAGATGCTCATAGTGGCTGCCAGCATGGAGTGTGAAGGGGGAACAAGTGGAGCTATGGGCAGGTCTGTGGGAGCCAGCAGCAGCTGTGGGGACTGGAGAGCATTGGGGCCTGGGGAAGTTATATTGGGATTTGGGGGATCTTCAGAAACTGGGAGGTGTCGAGGTCCAAGGGGCATATTGAGATTTGAAAGGGCTGGGGCTTCTGGGTGCATTTGGGAGAGCTTTCACAGCAAAGTATAGGGGATATGGGGGAGCACAAGGGCACTTTGAAGTCATGGGAGGTAATGAGGGGCTTGGGGGAGTATAGGAGGTGTGGGGGGTGTGATGAAGGGGGGTACCCAGCCCTCCCCATATCCCCATGCCAACTGCTCCCCCCACCCTATCAGCTTCCTCATTTTCCTCATGTTCATCCTGCTGGGCAAGTGCTTTTTCCATCACAGGTACTACGGAGGGTATGGGGAGGTGGCTGGGGGGCACAGGGGCAGCTGTGGGTCACTATGGGACAGTCAGGGGTCCCTATAGAGCATTTGAGGGGAGAGGTGTGGAGTAGTTTTGAGGTTCTCTATGGGGCACCCACAGGGTTGGTGCTTTCAGGGGCCACATCAGACTGGGGAGCTCCATCCAGCTCTCCATGTACATGACCCTGTACAGCATCGCCCCCTACAAGGCCCAGGTGAGACTCCTACGCCCACTTGTATTTGTGCAGTTTAGGGAGGGTTTGTGGATATTTGGAGGGCTATTTTGGGATGCAGGGGCAGTTCTTTGACCAACATAAGGTGCTTTATTATTGTGAGGTTCAGGTGAGACCCATGTGACTAGCTGTATTTGGGGAATATAGGAGGCATTTGGAGGGGTATGGGGTATTTGGATGGTGTTTGGCTTTGTGGGGTTTATCTTTGGGGGGAGAGGCAGTTTTTTGACCCTGGTCGAGTGATGTACCCCTACAAGTCACCTGCTGGGCACAGGCTCATTATGCTACACTTCAGGGCCTTCAGCTGGTTGTGCAATGCCATTGCCATCACTGTCACCATTGTCCTTGAGTACCGCTACTTCTACCTGTCCTTGCTGAGAGCTTATGCCCTCTGGTGAGTCCTGGGGGCTACCTGGAGGACACCTGAGGTCTCTCACACAAGGGTCTCTCAAGGAGGTGTCATGAGGGTGTCACAGGGATGTCACAAGGGTCACTCTCATAGAAGTCTCAAAGTGGTCTCACAGGCAGAAAACTCTTCAAGGAAAAATGCCACTCAGTTGCCACTGGAGAAGTCCTCAGGCAGAATTGAAGGGCTGATGTTACTTCTGACCCTCTGAAACGGATCTCCAGGTCATATTTACAAGAAGTGAGCAACAAGTACCATGATCAGAGCTAGAGGGGTTCTGGCTCCAGCCAGGTGTGGGAAAAGGACAGTGGGGTCAGTTGGACTGTGTAGATCCATGGCCTGGCACAGCAGAGCTACAGGAGCACAAGGCTTTAGCTGACATGGGTGCACAATGCACCCTGATGCCATCATGCAGGGGCAGAATCCATCTCTGTTTCTGGGATGACAGGGGGATCTCAACAGGGACTATGCTGGAAGCTGAAGTGCTCCTGACTGGGCACGAGTGACAGAAAAACGCCATTGTTGCTGGCCTAGAGGCTCCATGTATCCTTGGCACAGATCACCTCAGGAGAGGCATTTCAAAGACCCAAAAGGACGCCACTGAGCTTTGGGAGAGCTGCTGGGGAGACAGAAGAAATTCAGACAGCTGAATCCCTTGCTTGGTCTTTCAGAGGACCCTTCGGCTGTGGGACTGCTGAGGGATGAAGAACAGCAGGTACTGATGGCCAGCACAACAGTGTCCCATTGGCAACATGGCACCAACTGGGACTTCAGGACCCCATCCATGAGCTGATCCGTGCACTGGAGAGCTGGGCGTGCTCAGCAAGACTCGCTCACCCCCCAGTAGCCCCACATGGCCCCTGCCTGAGTCCTGTGGAGAGTGGACACTGACAGTGGACTGCCATGGCCCGAATGAATGAAGTCATACCCTGACTGAGTGCTGCCATGCTGGACATGTTGGAACTTCAGTATGAGCTGGAGTCCAAGGCAGAAAAAGGGTGCCACAGCAGAGGAAGCTTTTGAGAAGGGGAGAAGATAATCCAGATCCTCCTGATGGCTTGTTTTGCCATAAAACAGAGTAAAGCCAAGGGACCTTGAAATTCAGTTTTTAAAAGTAAAACAGCAATATGGACATTGTCAGATTCCAGTGGATGTGGTCAACAAAATAGCAGCAACATGCTTTTGAACAAATTAAAGAGGTGATTGTTCCTATAGTAGCCGTTGGACCATCAGGACATGACAAGGTGTGGAAAACATGCTCCACACTGCAGCCAGGGAGAATGGTCTACCCTGGAGCCTCTGGCAGAAGGAACCTGGGGAAGTTTGAGGACCACCCTATGGTTCCTGAGTCTGGGATACAAAGGATCTGAAGCCAGCTATACCCTCACACCACACTGCAGGTACTGGCAGCTTATGAGGAGGTTCCATCTGTGACAGAAGTGATTGGCACCAAAGCACAGCTTCCACTGGCACCCGGCTGCCAGTGTTGGGCTGGGTGTTCCAAGGGAAAGGGATCTTGGAAGTCATTACGAACTGGACCTGAGGCAAAATTTTCAAATTATCATCAGAAGGGGAAGAGGCGAAGGTGGCACATGCTAAGGACACCCTGACTACCAGAAAATGAAAAGCATCACTCTCTCTTTACTGATGGTTCCTGCCATATTAGGCAGGAATAATGCATCAAAATGCATGTAGGGATGCATCAAAAAGGGAAAGCTGCTCTATGGAGTCCTACATGACAACTTGTGGAAGTCACTGAAGGACAAGGCGGATCCAGTCACGTTACAGAGCATAAAGCTTAAGGCCATCCAGCTGGCTTTGGATATGGCTGAATGAGAGAAGTGGCCAACACTCTGCCTCTGCACTGACTCATGGATCGTGGCAAATGCTCTATGGGGTGGCTGGAACGATGGAAAAAGGGCAATTGGCAACACAAGGGAAACCCATCTGGGCTGCTGGACTGGGGCAAGACGTCACTGCCAATGGATAAACTGATTGTGAAAGTCCCTCCTGTGGATGCTCACGTGCCCAAGAGTCGGGCACTGAAAAGCATCACAACAACAGGACAGGAGGATGGGGCTGCCAGGATTAAAGTGTCTCAGGGAGGTCTGGACTGGCCACACAAGAGTGAGTTATTTCTGGCTCAGTGGGCCCATGATGCCTCAGGTAGCCAGTGTTTCAGGGGCAGATGAGAGGTTGCCCAGGCAAGGTAAAGACCTTTCTGTCCTGGAACATTTTGTGTGGGAGCAATCCTTGGATGGATCCAAATTTTGAGCTTGGCACCAAATTTAGGAAGTTGGGCTCAGAAAGTGAATGAAAGCACATTTCCTTGGGAGGAGAAACACCTAGTCCTACTGTTGGTGCTGCAGATGATTGTCAGCCCAAGAAAGGAAAAGGCAAGCAAGACTTATCTCTCCAGGCATCTATTCTGTTGGAGAAATCCTTGGACATACTTATTAGTAGAGGTGGTTTCCAAATTCCTTATATGTGTTCCTGAAAGGGAATGACACTTTTTTCTTGGAAAATAAATCACTAGTCACAGTGTTTTAGGATGAAAACATTTTTCTGGCCTTCACCTCCACCTGGCAGATGATCATCTGCAGCACCATCAGTCGGACAAGGTGTTTCCCTTCACAAGAATAGGTACTGCCATTCACATTGAAGAACTTAGTTGCAGCATTTGGAGCTGAGTTCCGGTATTGAATACATCTCAGCTCTAGACATTGCTCTCACACCAAACAGACTAGGGCAGAAAAGTCTTGCTGGCATTTTCCTCCCCTCTTCAATTTATAGTCTGTGGTTAGCTGCTTTCCTTCCCATGTAAAAGCACTCTCATTCCATTTCAGGAATCAAACACACAATTTTGTAAATCACCTGCAATGTTGAGTATGTCCAAGGATTCCTCCCAGATAAAGGCTCCAGAACAGCAAGGTCTTGCTGGCATGTCTCTCTACCAGGCAGATGATTATCTGTAGCACCAGCGTAAGGACTGGAAATTTCAATTTTCTAGGAAAAGTACTGTCATTCACTTTCAGGGCCCGGGTTCTGACATTTGGATTCAAGCTCCGATATTGAATGTCTAAGGATTCCTCCCACACAAAAAATGTAAGGACGGAAAACTGTTGCTGTCTTTTACCTTCACTTTGCAGTCATCTGAACACCACCAGCAGGATTATGTGTTTGCCTTCCCAAGGAAAGGTACTGTCATTCATGTTCAGGAGCACAGTTGCAGCATTTGGAGCCACACTCCAATACTGAATACTTCCAGTGATTATCTAACACAAAATGATCCAGGGCAGAAACATCTCTGTGGCCTTTACCTCCCCTGGGAAGCAGATCTGCACAAGAACAGTGGGTTATGTCCTTTTCTCCCCATGGAAAATCACTTTATTCCTCTTCAGGAGTCCACCACCTTACTTTGGAGACAACTTTCCAATATTAAATATATCCAAGGATTGCTCCCACGCAATATGTGTCAGGTCATAAAATTGTTGCTGGATTCTACCTCCCCTGGGGCAGCATGTAATCTGCTCTTTGAACCCTGGGTCTAGGTGTTTTCCTTCCCCTCTAAAAGTGCTTCAATCATCTTTAAGGACCTCATCACTGAAATTTGGATACCACCTCCAGTACTGAAAACATCCAAGGATTGCTCCCACACAAAATGTGGACTGACAGGTCTTGCTGGCCTTTACCTCCAATGGACAGAGCTCCTGAAATAAAACGAATGTGCTTTACCATGGGAAGGAAAGCACGTAGCCCCAGTGGTTTAGGTGCTGATTACAGGCTGCCCTAGGGGGGTAAAGATCAGCAACAGCTTTCTGATCTGGCAGCTTTTGTATGAGAGTCATCTTTGGGCATATATAATACTGGAGGTGGTATCCACGTTTGAATGGTGGGCTTCTGGATGAGAATGAGAGTTATTTTCTGTAGGAAGGAAAGCATGTAGCCCCAGTGTTTGCGGTGCTGATGAAAGGCTGCACAGGGGAGGTAAAGACTACCCCAGACCTCTCTATCATGGCACCTTTTTGGTGGGAGCAATCCTTGGACATAATGTTGGAAGTGTTATCTAATTTGGGTAATGGGTAAAATCCCTGGTCATATTCAATTAATTGCACTTACAACTGAAAAGCATGTGTGATGTAGAATGCATGTACTAAGTTACCATATTTATTAGCTTAAATAACAAAAGTAACTCTACCCTGTTGGTTAAACTTGTTAATGTGTGAACCAAGTTTGCTTCCTGCTGGCAGTGATTGCTCCTGCAATAAGGATAAGCTGTCCCTCGATGGTTACCTTGATCCTCAGTGGGGGTGTGCTGGAATCATTACTGATATCATTCCTGGGTAGAAAAAACGGTATGAATCTCAGCAGCATTAGCCTGAACAGGTTACCCCTTAGTAGCTCAAGTTGTTTAATCACTCGGACTAATGACAAAATTTCTTTTTCCCACTCAGAATCTCTCTCTTCCATCTCTTTAAATGCGGTTGAGTTGAATATTGAATATTCCTTTGGTTTTTCATGGTGTTAGGCCTTGACATTCTTCAGGACGAATCTCAACTTCTACTTTACGAAGTACTTGCCCACTGTTGTTGCTGCTTCCTGTGTTTTCAGGGGGGTCTCCTGCAATTTGAGTTGTCCTCCATGGGTAGGGTGCTCTCCTAATTTTAGCTATCAGTTCCTCAAAGTTTAGTACACCAGTGATTGTGGATGTGGTACTGGTGTTCAACTGCCTGTAATAAACCGTGAGCCACAACTGTCTGTTCAGCTCTTTCATGAGCCAGACCCTAAGACTGGCTCAGTTGGTCTGAGCATGGTGCTCATAACACCACTGTGGTTGGTTCAATCTGTGTATGGCCCATTCACTTAACAGCTGGACTTGATGATCTTGGTGAGTCCCTTTCAACTTAGAATATTCTGTGATCTGTGACACAAGGGCAATGCCAACAGCAAACATTGGCTAAACACTGGCAAGTTCCATGTGACTGGAGTGTGTTAAAATGATCTCTGGCTACTATCTCAGACAGGAGAGATAGGAGTGTGACTGAGTGATAGTACCTTTTTTCTTTTAATCTGTCACCACCCCATCAAGGCCCAAGCACACGGGTGCTTATATTGTGGCTGTTAGGTTTGCAGTATTGGTACCTTCAACTGTTAAGGGGGCCAAATTGGCCAGAACTTCAGAAATTCCACTTCTCCCTGCAGCAAAAATCCAGCATGGGGACACAGGGAGTGCAGGTGCCATGTGGAGTTGGCACAGTCTCTGGACTCCTTTTAGGGTTTGGGCTAATGTTCAAACATTAACATTGACTCACTGCCATCAGGCAGACAACAGATTTGATCATTCAGAACATCAAAACCCCAAATACTGTTATTGTGATCTTTGATTGCAAAGCAAGTAGCCAATATCCACTTCTCATCCAGGACCCATAAATTAACCTTAGCAGCTTGGCAGATAACATGTGCTCCATTTACTAAAGTTATTTTAACTCTTAGCGTTTGGGTTATACACCCAGCTTCTTGGCGTCCTGCTTCATTAGTACTGAATGCTGTGCTCCTGTATCTGCTAGAAATGTAATTAATCATTGAGAAGAACCAACTGGAATCTGGATGTGTGGGTCATTAGTATGTATTGATAGGGTTTCATTGTTGCATTTCAGTCTCACTTGGCTTGTGCCTGGAATGCTTTTGCAAATCAGCCACCTGAATGGACTCTTGCACAATACAGGGTGAATTGGTAGCTTGCGTAAGCATCACCTTTGCTGTTTCTTTCAGTTTTCATCTTTTCTCCTTGGTTTTCCTGGAACTGTTTCTGCAACTGTTCAATTCTCAGTAACAGGGATAAATCAAGTTTCCTCTCTCAGGTCTTGTTTCTTTCTTCTATAATTTTCCCTATTCAAATTCTCAAAAAATTATCTTTCCTTATACTGGGCTGAAGCAAGCAGAGTCCTAAGATGGTCTTTCTCAGTCATAAGTGTATCCACTTAGATTCTCAGTTTTTCTCCTGTCTCCATCTCAGAAGCCAGTGATGACTTTGATACCTCATTTTCTGTGTAAGTCTTATTTTTGGTGAGCCTCCTTAAATATGTGCAGCCGCCAGCCCCCAACTCACTGAGGATGGTGAAAGTTGTTTCTAAGACTCCAGTTAACATTAGCCTGTGGTGCCATAGTAATTATAGGTCTCTCAAGAGTTCCAACTCCCACATCAACATCTTTATCCTGCTTGTGGCAAGGGAGTGCAACTTTCCTTTTCCCCAGGCACTCCATTCCAGGCACTACATTCTCCAGAACAGCAGTGGATAATTTATCACTTCTCAAGAAATTCCTTTCTGCAAGCCTTTCACTCACACTTCATTCCATCTGCTGGTCCCTGGTTGTCCCACTTACAAGGAGGGGTCTCAGTCTTGTGGGGAGGGGGATGTCCAGTCCAATGATGGGTCCCCCAGTCCCATTGAGGGGGGATTGTGTATCCCAATCCCATGGGGAAGGTCTCAGTTCCAGGAAGGTAAATGAGTTACATGTGAGTGTCTCAAGGACATTAATGGGGGAGGGCGGAGTCCCAATCCCATACAGAGGGGCCCAAATCCCTGGGTGAGGACTCATTCCATGAAGGGGTACAGTGTCCCCTGTCTCATTGGCCGGGTCCCAAAAATTAAGTGGAGGAAAGATGCTCTTGCCCCGTCCTGTTTGCCACACTTTTGGGGTCCCCCCCTGTATTCAGGGTCTTTCCCCTCTCTATTTTTTCTCTGCCAGAGGAACGTGGTGCCACTAGAGTGATGTCCCAGCGGGCCAGGAAGAGTCCAGGCACCTCCTGCCACAGGGCACATGTCCCGTATCTCGGCTGGTTTTGATGGCCTGGAAAGGCTCGGGATGGCCTTGGGACAGCCCGCGCTCCGAAGGACAACAGGAGTCTTCAGGTTTTTTTTTGGTCTTCAGTGCTTATTAATTTTTATCCACAATATCTTCTCTCAATCCGACAGAGGTCCGCACAGCACGTCAGCCATGAGCACACTGAGAGCCCTCGGGGCGGTCACTTATCTTTATACCCAAAACTACGTATAAGACATTTACCTATTCTCCCCAATACCTTTCACCCTTATTGACGAGTAGACATTTAGTAAGAACCATTCCCAAAGTGCCACCACCACCACAGAAGATGGACAAAAAGAAGAAGAAGAAGGACAGGACACGCCCCAATTCCCCCATCTTGTCTCCCTAGAACCCCTCTGTACAAAGATTCTAAAATCTGTGTTTCACGCTATAATTAATCTATCCCTTCACCATTTATCCCCGTGATATCCTCCCATCCTCATACAGGTGTCGTCTCCTGTGCAGGATCAAAGTCCAGCCACCAGACACTTCTGGCAACATTCCAGGACCTCCAAGCCCCCCAAGGGTTGTCTCGGTGACTCTGCACATCAGGACTGCTGTGCTGAGGTCCCACAGGCAGAGACATTGGGGTATGGGGGATAGGGTATGTTATAAATTATCAAATCTGTAGCCAAATTATAAAAAAAAATTGACAAAGATTTATTAAGTCAATCAGCAAAAAATAGAAAATTTCACAATCCCACAGCCAAGTCAGCGTCAGCCCCGGGAGCAGCCGGTGGCTGACCCTGGGTTCCTGCTGACAGAGAGAGCGTTTCCCCTAAGGTGCACCCGGAGTGCTTCCACCAGCCTGCTTATATACAGTTTATTCTGCCTGAGGCAGAGATGACCACATAATTCTTTGTCTCTCTTGGCATGTAAAGTTGGGTCCATACACTTGTAAAAGCAGACAAAGAAAGTGTCCAAAACCTAGACAAGAGCTATTCACATGTAGTAGGTGATGCCATCTCTTGAGTAATACAGATTCCATCAAGTCCAGGTGCAGGACCTCGTGGGCTTCCTGAGATGTCCAGTTGATCATCACCCAGGAAATTCCCAGATGATATCTTCCAGGTGCAGACGAAATCCTTTCAGATGGCTCCAGCTTGTCTCCTACATCTGATAATGGGTCCAGCAGTCCCAGAGCCTGTCCAGGAACTGGTTAACATGTGAATACCTCTAGCCCTGACAAAGACAATTGCAGGCACCTGTGGCTCAGGGCTACCCTGTTCATATGAGAACAGGGTTTGATTTTATCTTAACTCTGTCTGGGAACCAGTTATAATGTGAATAACTTCTGTTCCTGGACAGGGTGGTTTCACAAGCATAGGTTCAAACTTTACTAATATTTCATACCTACATATATCTATTTCTATAGCATGAATTATCTTCACTACATATAACAGGGTGGGAACATGGGGGACACAAGGGAGACATGAGGACATTGTGGGATACATGAGGGGACAGGTGGGACATGAGGCACACATGAGGGACCCTGGGAGCATGTGTGTACATGAGGGAGGGACATGGGGACACAGGGTAGCAATGAGGGTACTGTGTCCGTGGGGAGGGGCAGTGTTAGAAATGGTGCAACTCCTAGAATTTTTAACTAACTTTAGTCAGGGGTTTTGTTCATCTTTGCTTAGGGAAAAAGGAATGGAAGTTTCTTTTCAAGAGACTCTGTTCCCCAGGCAAGGCCTGATGAGCTTGACATCTCAGTGGACTGGGAGTTGCCAGAGCATGCTCAAGAGAGAAGTGACCGTCAACACCTGAACTTCCTTCCTGGTGTATCAGGGACACTTGATCTGAGAAAAGATCAATAAGAGAACGAAGAATAAGGACCTAATTAGCATTGGAGGCAAAGGGATCAATAACCAATAGGAAACCAGGTGCAAACTGTGTGACTTGTGGCCAATGAACATTGAACCAATGCATTTTTCTGGGTTTTGACTGTGTAAGTATGTGAAAAATCTAGTAAAGAACCATGTGTGATGGAATGGTTTTCTCTGCACAACACAGGCAATGTGTGGATTAAATTATCTCTGTTGCACATTCTGGCCAGAACAACATCCTGGCAAGAATAAAGTAATGCCTTAATTCTCTTGAAGTAGAAACATTGTTGGAGAGTTTTTATATTTCTTGCAATTTTGGTGACAGCAGGACAATGCCTCCTTGTCCCTCCATATCCCCCCACATCACTTGTGTGTCCTTTTCCCCCAGATGGATTTTATGGACACCTGCAACTCTCAACTGACCCCCACTGATTACAGGGAGGCACTAGGAGCTACTGGGACCATGCTGGGAGCAACTGGGATGACAACTGGGGTAACTAGGATCATACAGGGAACAACTGGAATCATTCTGGAGAATGACAGGGAGAAAGGGGAATCATACTGGGCATAAATGGGAGCAACTGGGACCATCCTGAGATCATGCTGTTATCATAGTGGGAGTGACTAGGATCATACAGGGAATGACTGAAACCATGCTGGAAGTGACTAGGAGCCACTGAGACCAGGGCCAGAAGGATCCAGCAAACTCCAAGCCTTGGTGCTGGGACAGCCCTGTAACAGATTCCTTGGGGGGACCCCATGGCATGGACAGGAAAACCAGGGCATTGGGAACAGCCAGGGCTTGGGAAAGGACGGTACTGCCTGACTCACCTGATCTCCTGCTGCGCCCAGGTGACCCCAGTGGGTGTTGGACATGTGTGGGTGTGTCTGCCTGTGTTGGGAACGGCGGGAGAAATGCGGCACGCAATATGAGTGATCAGCAAATCTCAAATCTTTATTGATAGGCACACATCTTTATGTCAGTGTTATTTAGGCTCATACATATTGCAAAGGCGAGCTCATTATTGGCTAGTTACTCATCAGCCAACTACGCCTGCTTCTGCATTCTTGTGGATATTTTATTGAAACTTTTCTTCGTATTTCTGCCAAAGATGCTCTCCCCTATCCTACTGTTGCACCAAGGGCACAATGTCCTTGCCTGTTATTGGACACTGACTACTGGCTTCTATGCTTGTCCCCTTCAAGCTTAACCAGCGGCAATATGTCAACGTGACCTTTCTCAGCTAACCAACTGTCCACAAAGCTCTCCACATGCCTGCAGCTCAGCAAAGCCTTTGGCACTGCCTCCATCTCCCTGCCTCTCCTAGAGCACCTGCAGCTCGCAGCTTGGACAGGTGCCTCTCGCTGGGAATGCCTAGCTGGTGGCCAGGCCAAGGAGGAGTGGGAATGCGGCCACAGCCAGCTGGGGCTGGGCACTGCTGGGTTCCCCAGGGCTCCGTGTTGGGGCTGGTCCTGTTCAACATCTGGCCAGGCTGGACAAGGAGGGGCAACTGTGAGGCTTG